TGCATGTCAGTGGTTTCGTTGTGACCAGGGCTATTGAAATGTTGGCCGACTGGGGTGCATGAGTGGTTTTTGTACTGAGTACCTGTGATTGTTAAATCTGGCCTTAAGAGTGGTCGTGGTTTGTCCTACATGTTGGGCAGAGCACATTTTGCATGTTATTAAGTAAATTACATTTTAGTTTCGCAGTTGATGTTATCTGTAAGGACTTGTTTGAAAAGAGGTCCCTCTACATGGTTGGTTTCTGTCATATTGTAAGGGCATGTTTTGCACCTAGGTTTCTTGCAGGGGTGGTTCTGGGGGGTCTGTGAGAGGTTGTTTTGAGATGAAGGAAGATTTTTTGTATCTTTTGTACGGATGAGAAGGTTGCCAAGGTTGGGGGGTTGTCGGAGAGCGATTAAAGGGGGCTGAGGGAAGCACTTCATCATCTTGTCAGATTTTTCTAAAATGTCTTTGTGCTGGTTGTGGATGTTGTGAACATTGGGCAGCTTTTGGTGGTGAGTGGTGACAAAGAATGGCCTTTTCTGATGAGGTTTGTGGAGTTTGTAGCAAAGTACATGTAGATCCTTGGGCCTGAGTTTGTACACTTTGTTTATGATGGGGGTTATAAAACTGTTTTGGTATCCGCAGCGCAAAAGGTTTTCTCTGAAATTTGTAATTCTGGCATTAAACCATTCATACCTGGAACAAATCCGTCGGAGTCGGAGCGCACCACTGTAGACTACCGAACGGAAAAAATGTTCGGGGTGGTCGGAAGAAGGGGGGAGGTAGCGCTTAGAGTCGGTTGGTTTGAGGTGGAGGTCTGTCTCAATGTTGTTATTGAGAAAGCGAAAGGAGAGGTCAGAGGTCGAGGAAAGCTGTAGACTTTCCGGGGTAGGAGTGTGTGAATATGATGGTGTTATGGACGCCGTTCATGACCGAAAGAAATTGATGCGTTTGTTGAGAATTACTATCATGCAGGGCGATAATGTCGTCCATGTATCTCATGACCAAAAAGGGTTGGTTGGGAAGGGGGGCGATGTTTTTACGCCAACATTCTGCCATGAAAATGTTGGCATAGGAAGGAGCTACAGGTGTTCCCATGGCTGTTTCTGTGAGTTGAAGAAAATGTTGGTCGTTGAAGAAGAAGTTGTTTAGTGTAAGGACTAGTTCCAGGAGTTGACAAATTTCTTTTATTTGACATGGGGTGTATGTGGTGAGGCTAGCGAGAGCAAAGCGGCAGGCTTCGACTCCTTCTTTGTGTGGGATGGTATTGTACATGTCTACAACGCCAAAGGCCAAAATGTTGGTGTTGTCTGTAATTTGCCTTTTTTCATTCAGTGTTTTAATTTTTGAAGGAGATGAAAGTTGTCCTTGACCCAATGGTTGCCGCAGAAGTCGGGGACGAGGAGTTTAAAAATGCTGTCTAGCCAGTAGGAGGCTCTAGTGGTAGGGCCTCTGGTTTGTGAAATTATACCCCTAAAGGGAGGAAGTATAGAGCTTTGTTTGCTGGCCTTGTGGATCTAAGGGAGGCCGAAGAAGTGGGGGCAGGATACCTCACCGTGGAGAATACTCTTGTGTATTTCGGGGGATATCACTTTAAGTTGTTCCAATGTAAGGATTTGTTTGTGAATAGCCTTAAGGTGAGAGGAAGTTGGGTCTGAAGTGAGTGGTTTGTGGAGGGTGGGGTGGTTTAATTTGTGTTTATAGTCTCTGGTGTTCATGACCACAAGGGAACCTTTGTCAGCCTCAGGGATAGTGAGACTGTTGTTGAACATTAGTTCATGGAGAGATTTTCTTTATGCTCTATTGAGGTTGTTTTTGGAGATGTGAAGTTTCTTTCCGTCTTTAATTTTGCTATTGAGAGCCGACTTCTCGATGTTGTCACAATAAAGGTCGAAGGCAGCATTGCAGCCGGAAAGAGGGGG